ATTAATTTCAGATGTTGAATGACACTGCTTGTGAGGTCATTTAAACTGTAATTCAGAAATAAAGTCTACATATTGTCCTGTGAGTCTACTGCTATAGTGGAAGGTTCTACTTAGATGTGGTCCCCACCATGGCAGACCTGACAGTGTGCGCAACAAATATCAACCTTACAGACTCATGTAAAAAGAGGAAATTATTGCAAATTCATTTCAGACGTTGAATAACATTGCTCATGAGGTCATTTAAACTGTAATTCAGAAATAAAGTCTACATATTGTCCAGTAAGTCTGCTGCTATAGTGGAAGGTTTTACCTGGACGTGGTCCCCTCTATGGAAGACCTGACAGTGTGTGTAACCAAAATCAATCTTACAGATTTGTGTACAAAGAGGAAACTATTATAAATTCATTTCAGTCGCTGAATAACATTGCTTATGAAGGCATTTAAACTGTAATTCAGAAATAAAGTCTACATATGGTCCTGTAAGTCTACTGCTCTAGTGTAAGGTTCTACTTAGACGTGGTCCCCACTATGGCAGACCCGACAGTGTGTGTAACCAATATCAACCTTACAGACTCATGTACAAAGAGGAAATTATTGCAAATTCATTTCAGACGTTGAATGACATTTCTCATGAGGTCATTTAAACTGTAATTCAGAAATAAAGGCTACATCTTGTCCTGTGTGTCTACTGCTATAGGGGAAGGTTCTACTTAGACGTGGTCCCCACTATGGCAGACCCGACAGTGTGTGTAACCAATATCAACCTTAAGCACTTGTTTAAAAACAGGAAACTATTACCAGTTCATATGAGACTCTGAATGACGTTAGTCATAAGGTAACCTACACTGTTGTTCAGAAATGTTGTCTATAAGTTGTCCTGTATGTCTACTGCTTTAGTAGACATTTCTACCTAAATGTGGTCCCCACTACGTTAAATCTGACAGTGAATGTAGCTAAAACCATTCAAACATTTCTATCCTGAGGGTCCCCAAAATGCAAAACATGAGAGCATGTGTAACTAATACCATCCCAAAAGCCTCACTTAAAAACAATGAACTCTCACAAATTTATATCACACAACAAATGAAATCAGTCCTGAAGTAACTTCAAATAACCATAATTAGCTGCATAACTACCAAGTAGTTCAATCACTATATGCATATAAAAACACTTTTTAAAATACCTTTAAGCCAGAAGAAGTTGTTCCAGAGTTGGTCACAGGACTTGACGCTGAGCAGCTTGATTCAACCACGTCCATCATGTTAGCAGAGTCCTCACATGCAAGCTACAGGGATTTCAAATATCACAGTTAACATTTAGAATTGAGGAGCATTTCATGCAAAAGAAACGACGCTGTCCCAGGCTACACCACATAGTGTACATGTACTGCAAATGTCAGTCTACACATCACAACTGTCACAACTAACTAATGTTTTAAGTGAGGCTTTAGGGATGGTATTAGTTACACATGCTCTCAGGTCTCGCATTGTGGGGACCCTTTCAGGATAGAAACGTTTGAATGGTTTGGGTTACACCCATTGTCAGGTTTAGCATAGTGGGGAACACGTCTAAGTAGAACCTTCCACTATAGCAGTAGACTCGCAGGACAACATATAGACAACATTTCTGAACAACAGTGTAGGATACCTTATGATTAATGTCATTCAGAGTCTCATATGAACTGGTAGTAGTTTCCTGTTTTTAAAGTGTTTAAGGTTGATATTTGTTACACACACTGTCAGGTCTGCCGTAGTGGGGACCACGTCTAAGTAGAACCTTCCACTATAGCAGTAGACTCACAGGACAATATGTAGACTTTATTTCTGAATTACAGTTTAAATGCCCTCAGGAGTAATGTCATTCAACATCTGAAAATTAATTTGTAATGGTTTCCTCTTTGTACACTTTGTTCCTAATTGGCTTGGTTTAACCACATCCATCATGTTAGCAGTGCCCTCACATCAACGCTAAAGGGATTTCAAATATCACAGTTAAACATTTCAATAAATCTCAAACACAAGTAGATCATTATTTAAAATGCAGTACACAATTTCACACGTTTTATCAGTGTCTGCTGCTTCAAGTTAACCAGACATGGATTCACCATTTTATAGAACAGTGTGTGTAAATGACATCAATCTTAACATGAATAAAAAAAAATCATATTACACCCTTAATGGGATTAATTATGAGAGGACAAACTGCTGTTGAAAACAATAGACCATACATTCTTCTGTGTGTTCACTGCTCTGCTGGTTCAGGTTGGCTAGACGTGGTCCCCACTATACTAAACCTGACAATGTGTGTAACCAAAATCAACCTTACTGACTCGTGTACAAAGAAGAAACTATTACAAATTCATTTCAGACACTGAATGACATTGCTAATGAGGTCATTTAAACTGTAATTCAGAAATAAAGTCTACATATGGTCCTGTAAGTCTACTACTATAGTGTAAGGTTCTACTTAGACGTGGTCCCCACTATGGCAGACCCGACAGTGTGTGTAACCAATATCAACCTTAAACACTTGTTTAAAAACAGGAAACTATTACCAGTTCATATGAGACCCTGAATGACATTAGTCACGAGGTAACCTACACTGTTGCTCAGAAACGTTGTCTATAAGTTGTCCTGCATGTGTACTGCTTTAGTGGAAGTCTCTATCTAGATGTACTCCCCACTACGTTAAATCTGACAGTGAGTGTAACCATTCAAACATTTCTATCCTGACAGGGTCCCCAAAATGCAAAACCTGAGAGCATGTGTAACTAATACCATCCCTAAGGCCTCACTTAAAAACAATTAACTCTCACAAATTTATCACACAACAAATGAAATCAGTTCTGAAGTAACTTCAATTAACCATAATTAGCTGCATAACTACCAAGTAGTTCAATCTCTATATGCAAATAATATATATATTTTTTTTTAAATACCTTTAAGCCAGAAGAAGTTCCAGAGTTGGTCACAGGACTTGAAGCTGAGCAGCTTGGTTCAACCATGTCCATAATGCTGTCCCAGGCTACACCACATAGTGTACATGTATTGCAAATGTCAGTCTACACATCACAACTACCTAATAGGACAATAACTTACACCAAAAAATGTCATATTACTTGGCTAGTAAAGTGATTCACTTGTCTAATAGTTTTAAAGAAACAATCTTCTGAACAACTAATACATGTGTAAACCAATGCAGTAATTACATGCTGTAATGCAAGTACGTCTACACTTGTTTAAAATACCTTTAGGTCAGAAGAGGAAGCTCCAGTGTTGGTCAGAGGACCAAAGTTGAGTGGCTTGGTTCAACGTCATCCATCATGTTAGCAGTGTCCTCACATGCAGGCTAAAGGGATTTCAAATATCACAGTTAAACATTTCAATGAACCTCACATAGTGTAAAGTGTTAATTACATCAATCAAATATTCATATTATAAACTTAAGAGGACAAACTGCTCTTGAGAACAACAGACCATATTCTTCTGTGTGTTCACTGCTCTGGTGGTTCAGGTTGACTAGACGCAGTGCTCACTATACTAAACCTGACAGTGTGTGTAACCAGTACCAACCTTACAGACTGATGCACAAAGAGAAAACTATTACAAATTAATTTCAGATGTTGAATGACACTGCTTGTGAGGTCATTTAAACTGTAATTCAGAAATAAAGTCTACATATTGTCCTGTGAGTCTACTGCTATAGTGGAAGGTTCTACTTAGATGTGGTCCCCACCATGGCAGACCTGACAGTGTGCGCAACAAATATCAACCTTACAGACTCATGTAAAAAGAGGAAATTATTGCAAATTCATTTCAGACGTTGAATAACATTGCTCATGAGGTCATTTAAACTGTAATTCAGAAATAAAGTCTACATATTGTCCAGTAAGTCTGCTGCTATAGTGGAAGGTTTTACCTGGACGTGGTCCCCTCTATGGAAGACCTGACAGTGTGTGTAACCAAAATCAATCTTACAGATTTGTGTACAAAGAGGAAACTATTATAAATTCATTTCAGTCGCTGAATAACATTGCTTATGAAGGCATTTAAACTGTAATTCAGAAATAAAGTCTACATATTGTCCAGTAAGTCTGCTGCTATAGTGGAAGGTTTTACTTGGACGTGGTCCCCTCTATGGAAGACCTGACAGTGTGTGTAACCAAAATCAATCTTACAGATTTGTGTACAAAGAGGAAACTATTATAAATTCATTTCAGTCGCTGAATAACATTGCTTATGAAGGCATTTAAACTGTAATTCAGAAATAAAGTCTACATATGGTCCTGTAAGTCTACTGCTCTAGTGTAAGGTTCTACTTAGACGTGGTCCCCACTATGGCAGACCCGACAGTGTGTGTAACCAATATCAACCTTACAGACTCATGTACAAAGAGGAAATTATTGCAAATTCATTTCAGACGTTGAATGACATTTCTCATGAGGTCATTTAAACTGTAATTCAGAAATAAAGGCTACATCTTGTCCTGTGTGTCTACTGCTATAGGGGAAGGTTCTACTTAGACGTGGTCCCCACTATGGCAGACCCGACAGTGTGTGTAACCAATATCAACCTTAAGCACTTGTTTAAAAACAGGAAACTATTACCAGTTCATATGAGACTCTGAATGACGTTAGTCATAAGGTAACCTACACTGTTGTTCAGAAATGTTGTCTATAAGTTGTCCTGTATGTCTACTGCTTTAGTAGACATTTCTACCTAAATGTGGTCCCCACTACGTTAAATCTGACAGTGAATGTAGCTAAAACCATTCAAACATTTCTATCCTGAGGGTCCCCAAAATGCAAAACATGAGAGCATGTGTAACTAATACCATCCCAAAAGCCTCACTTAAAAACAATGAACTCTCACAAATTTATATCACACAACAAATGAAATCAGTCCTGAAGTAACTTCAAATAACCATAATTAGCTGCATAACTACCAAGTAGTTCAATCACTATATGCATATAATTTTTTTTTTTTTTAAATACCTTTAAGCCAGAAGAAGTTGTTCCAGAGTTGGTCACAGGACTTGACGCTGAGCAGCTTGATTCAACCACGTCCATCATGTTAGCAGAGTCCTCACATGCAGGCTACAGGGATTTCAAATATCACAGTTAAACATTTAGAATTGAGGAGCATTTCATGTAAAAGAAACGAGGCTGTCCCAGGCTACACCACATAGTGTACATGTACTGCAAATGTCAGTCTACACATCACAACTGTCACAACTACCTAATGTTTTAAGTGAGGCTTTAGGGATGGTATTAGTTACACATGCTCTCAGGGTCTCGCATTGTGGGGACCCTTTCAGGATAGAAATGTTTGAATGGTTTGGGTTACACCCATTGTCAGGTTTAGCATAGTGGGGAACACGTCTAAGTAGAACCTTCCACTATAGCAGTAGACTCGCAGGACAACATATAGACAACATTTCTGAACAACAGTGTAGGATACCTTATGATTAATGTCATTCAGAGTCTCATATGAACTGGTAGTAGTTTCCTGTTTTTAAAGTGTTTAAGGTTGATATTTGTTACACACACTGTCAGGTCTGCCGTAGTGGGGACCACGTCTAAGTAGAACCTTCCACTATAGCAGTAGACTCATAGGACAATATGTAGACTTTATTTCTGAATTACAGTTTAAATGCCCTCAGGAGTAATGTCATTCAACATCTGAAATTAATTTGTAATGGTTTCCTCTTTGTACACTTTGTTCCTAATTGGCTTGGTTTAACCACATCCATCATGTTAGCAGTGCCCTCACATCAACGCTAAAGGGATTTCAAATATCACAGTTAAACATTTCAATAAATCTCAAACACAAGTAGATCATTATTTAAAATGCAGTACACAATTTCACACGTTTTATCAGTGTCTGCTGCTTCAAGTTAACCAGACATGGATTCACCATTTTATAGAACAGTGTGTGTAAATGACATCAATCTTAACATGAATAAAAAAAAATCATATTACACCCTTAATGGGATTAATTATGAGAGGACAACCTGCTGTTGAAAACAATAGACCATACATTCTTCTGTGTGTTCACTGCTCTGCTGGTTCAGGTTGGCTAGACGTGGTCCCCACTATACTAAACCTGACAATGTGTGTAACCAAAATCAACCTTACTGACTCGTGTACAAAGAGGAAACTATTACAAATTCATTTCAGACGCTGAATGACATTGCTAATGAGGTCATTTAAACTGTAATTCAGAAATAAAGTCTACATATGGTCCTGTAAGTCTACTACTATAGTGTAAGGTTCTACTTAGACGTGGTCCCCACTATGGCAGACCCGACAGTGTGTGTAACCAATATCAACCTTAAGCACTTGTTTAAAAACAGGAAACTATTACCAGTTCATATGAGACTCTGAATGACGTTAGTCATAAGGTAACCTACACTGTTGTTCAGAAATGTTGTCTATAAGTTGTCCTGTATGTCTACTGCTTTAGTAGACATTTCTACCTAAATGTGGTCCCCACTACGTTAAATCTGACAGTGAATGTAGCTAAAACCATTCAAACATTTCTATCCTGAGAGGGTCCCCAAAATGCAAAACCTGAGAGCATGTGTAACTAATACCATCCCTAAGGCCTCACTTAAAAACAATTAACTCTCACAAATTTATCACACAACAAATGAAATCAGTTCTGAAGTAACTTCAATTAACCATAATTAGCTGCATAACTACCAAGTAGTTCAATCACTATACGCATATAATAAATACCTTTAAGCCAGAAGAAGTTCCAGAGTTGGTCACAGGACTTGAAGCTGAGCAGCTTGGTTCAACCATGTCCATAATGCTGTCCCAGGCTACACCACATAGTGTACATGTATTGCAAATGTCAGTCTACACATCACAACTACCTAATAGGACAATAACTTACACCAAAAAATGTCATATTACTTGGCTAGTAAAGTGATTCACTTGTCTAATAGTTTTAAAGAAACAATCTTCTGAACAACTAATACATGTGTAAACCAATGCAGTAATTACATGCTGTAATGCAAGTACGTCTACACTTGTTTAAAATACCTTTAGGTCAGAAGAGGAAGCTCCAGTGTTGGTCAGAGGACCAAAGTTGAGTGGCTTGGTTCAACGTCATCCATCATGTTAGCAGTGTCCTCACATGCAGGCTAAAGGGATTTCAAATATCACAGTTAAACATTTCAATGAACCTCACATAGTGTAAAGTGTTAATTACATCAATCAAATATTCATATTATAAACTTAAGAGGACAAACTGCACTTGAGAACAATAGACCATATATTCTTCTGTGTGTTCACTGCTCTGGTGGCTCAGGTTGACTAGACGTGGTCACCACTATACTAAACCTGACAGCGTGTGTAACCAATACCAACCTTACAGACTCATGTACAAAGAGAAAATTATTACAAATTAATTTCAGAAGTTGAATGACATTTCTCGTGAGGTCATTTAAACCGTAATTCAGAAATAAAGTCTACATATTGTCCTGTGAGTCTACTGCTATAGTGGAAGTTTCTACTTAGACCTGACAGTGTGTGTAACCAATATCAACCTTAAACACTTGTTTAAAAACAGGAAACTATTACCAGTTCATATGAGACACTGAATGACATTAGTCATAAGGTAACCTACACGATAGTTCAGAAATGTTGTCTATATGTTGACCTGCGAGTCTACTGCTATAGTGGAAGGTTCTACTTAGACGTGCTAAACCTGACAGTGGGTGTAACCCAAACCACTCAAACATTTCTATCCTAAAAGGGTCCCCACAATGCAAGAGCTGAGAGCATGTATAACTAATACCATCCCTAAGGCCTCATTCACATCCCTAACACACAAAAACAACTCTCACAAATTTATATCTGACAACAAATGAAATCAGTACTGAAGTAACTTGACCATAATTAGCTGCAGAGCTACCAAGTAGTCCAATGACTACATGCACATAAAACCACTTTTTAAATACCTTTAAGCCAGAAGAAAAAGATCCTGTGTTGGTCACAGGACTTGACGCTGAGCGGATTGATTCAACCACATCCATCATGTTAGCAGTGTCCTCACATAGAGGCTATGGGGATTTCAGATATCACAGTTTAACATGTAGAATTGAACAGCATTTCATACAAAAGAAACGAGGCTGTCCTTGGCTACACCACATAGTGTACATGTAATGTAAACTTCAGTCTACACATCACAACTACTTAATAGGACAATAACCTACACCAAAAATGCCATATTACTAGGCTAGTAATGTCATTCACTTGTCTAATTGTTTTAAAGAAACAATCTTCTGAACAACTGATCGTAACTGATGTACACCAGTGCATTTATTACATACTGTAATGCAAATATGTCACTTTATGGATATAAAACCACTTTTTTTTTATACCTTTAAGTCAGAAGTGGAAGCTCCAGCATTGGTCACAGGACCTGAAGCCGAGCGGCTTGGTTCAACATTGTCCTTGATGTTAGCAGTGTCCTTATGTGCAGGCTACAGGGATTTCAAATAATCAGAGTTAAACATTTAGAACTGAAGAGCTTTTGTTAATAACAAATACCTAAATCAAAAAATGCCATACTACTAAGCTAATAATGCCGGTCACTTGTCTTATAGTTGTTAACAAAAACAATCTTTAGAACAACTGACATTATCATACTAAACAATCATACAAAACAGCTAATAATTTTTAATAGCATTAATAGTGTGGATGATTAAAGTTTATGACCTCAACTGAAATGTTTCCACTAAGATTCCATTAAAATCCTTACTAAAATCCTTACTAAGAAAATCCTTACTAAGAAATGTAATTCAGGCTAAGCCATTATCGAAATTAATCTCAAGAAAATGTAACTTCTACTCAATGTCAAGGACAGCAATACACATTGCACGGGCTTTCAAAGGGTTACTTTTTGATCAAATGCTGATAAGCACTCAATCACACTGCTAAGCTAGTAAAATCTATTTCAAATATTTTCCAAACACATCTTACAAACCTTTCTCCTCCGATGCCAGTCACTTCCTCCACAGTCGTAGGTTATTTTCTCTCCAGGCATTATATCTCTCATCACAAATACGCAGAGATGCGGTTTTCCCTGGACAATGATCTTTTTCATTTTACAGTTGAGGTCCTTGTGCTCATCGTTCACTAGTCGGCCAAGGGTGTCATCCTCTCTTGTTGCAACAATGCTTAAAAAATGGAAAAAAAAACAAAAAAACAAACAAACGAACAAAATACATTTATTGTATTCTATGTTAGAACTAGATTACTGCATATAGGTAGCAGTGCCACAACAATCAATAAGCATTAACAAAAACAAAAGAAAATACTGTTGAAATATAGGGGTGGGCAACATAATACTAACACCGGTACTTTTTTAAATGCAATAGGATTTTGCCATACAGAGAACAGTATCACTAGCACTGAGGACAACTTAGTTCTTAAAAGGGGAGACACGTCAGTAGTGTGGAAGTTTATTGGCTACAGAAGGCTAGACCCCAAACAAACAACAGTAATTTGCAAAATGTCAAAAAATACGGTGACCACAAAATAACCTATTAAAACATTTGAGATGTTTGTTTGAGCTCCTCTGACAGGTGGTCTGCTACCTTTATTTACCAAGAAAACAAGCATGTTCCCTGACGCTGGCTTCAAAAGCTACAATATTGCAAACAGGGCTGAATCCTCTCTCAGCAGATGCATGGTGGCAGAGATATGCACAGATATTTACTGGCTAACTTGCTGACAATAAGAAGTTATGCAGCCTCCACCATGTGGCAAGTGCATCGTTCTCACTGTCAGCTTTTTGAAGGTTAAATTAGTGTACATTTATTGGAATTAGTATTTAAGAATTCACTATCTACAGCAAAATATGATAATGTATTTTAAATGAACGGAAATAATTTTAGAGCTTTCTTTAGTTAATTAGTTAATATTGTTACTGCAAAAAATATCCCAAAATTTTGTGATATTATTTCAAGGTCTTATTGCCCACCCCTACTGAAAGTATAGTTAATACTATAAAATAATTTCATTTCATATGGTTAATGATAGTTTAAAACCACAAGCTAAATTTTAGACAAAAAAAAATTTCTACAAAATACCTTCTATGATAATCACTAACATGTAATCATCTCTGAAACTTACCACCGTTTATTCTGCCAAAAGTAATACAGTAATTCGGGAGACCTTCCTCCTTCTCCCTGATTCAAGAAAGTCCATCAGTTCCCCTCTGCATTCAACCACAAAATCTCCTTTATTCAAAGAAGCCAGGGCAAATACACCATGACCTGTCAAAGAAGTAAAATAAAGCCAAACAAATCATATGCATGTTGTAGCAGCTGTGATACAGAAAAACATCCTGCACTGTAAGACAGTGGATTAACTGTTTTAAAATGTATCATAGTGTGGCAATTAATCTGTTTCTAATTGAATTAATACACCACCATTAGATTTAGTGTACACAATATTACATAAACCAGCTTCAGCACAGAGGACTGTGGGCGTGGCAGTCGGGCAAAATAGATGCAAAGGATTTTTGAACTTCACGCAAATGAAAAGTGAACTGCACCAGGCAGTGGCCAATTCAAATGTGGATAATAATAATAAAACAAAAATATTCTAATTAACATATCAAAAACACAACATTTAGCAGCAGATAGCCGTATTTTACAAACATTATTAAGCTGGATTTCACATGCATTTCATTGGTACAAACAACTAGTCTACTACTATATACACTTGTGTTCTAGATAAATGGTTTGTATTTTAGTTGCATGCCCCCAAAATGGCTAACATTTGTCAAGAGAAATTATTTTCTTTACTCTAATGTAAGTATGCAGGCAAAACCACAACAATACAGAAAACCAGGCCTACCTTTATAAGGGTTTATTAATTTACTCTCCAATACATCAGTCTTGTCAGTTGCACTGGTGACATGTTGTACTGCTTCATCAAGTGGTTTCACCCTCCTCCGTCTCATTTTATCTTCTCCTCCTGCAACTGAGAGTATCTGAAGCAGAAGGTTGACAAATCATACTCAAAGCAAGGCCACATGGAACAGCAAAAACATTTGTATGGCCTAGAAAAAGCCTTGTAATAAAGAGAATTTTAAGATTTCCAATACTATTTTCTACTAGTGAGATGTGATCAACATATATTTGCAAGTAGGAACAGCATTTTTCATATGATATTATAAAAATTATTTTGAAAAGAAGCTAAATGGAATGACTCTTAAGACAAGATTAAATCAATAACAGGTCTTGATAATAGGCCAGTGCAAAGAAAAGAGTTCTAACCATAACAAAAACTATGCTTGTAATGTATTATATTATTAAATATTAATTCATTTACTGTAAGTGTAGACCTAAATGCAACTGTGTGAATTAGCCCTTCTTATATTTAGAGCTCAAATCTAGATCAGTGCCTCACTCTCTCTCTTTCTCTCCACACGTCTTGCTGTCTCCTGCTGAGTCCGCACAAGAATGGCTCTCGCTGTCTCCCTCTCCAAAACTGTCTTTCTCTCTCTAAAACTAAACATATATAAACATATACATATAGCGAGGCAGTGAGCCTTATAGTACACCTGAAAGATTAAATGATTTTCAAATCACAAAGAGTTACAATAATAATCATAGCCTACATGATGAACAACACTGTCTTAAGAATTTATAAGTGCAGAAATTTAACCTAACACAGAGCTTCTGAACCACCTCTACATGAGTCGGACTAATCAGAAGGACCCCTCTGTTGTGTATACTGTGTACAGGACAACACAATCACCATTAACTGGCAGGTTGGCACACTACTTTCAGAGTCCAAGCCTCGGCCAAAAATAATGGATGTGCTGGTCTTTTGGCCACAACACATGCCTTTCATTTACTGAAATCAGTAACAGATCAAATAGCAAATACAATCTTTTTCAGAACAACCTGCAATCAGATATTTTACCAAATATTTCAGCCCCACCTTGCAGTCAATTGTCATCCAGTTAAGCTCCATGGCTGTTTTCTCTTTCTCTCTCTCTCTCTGTGCACACACACACACAAAACCCACAGCCCTTTTAATACTCTGATTATTTGAATTAATAAAATACCTGGTAAGAACAGTGAGTCTTACCCTGCTGTATTTTTCAACTAAGTTAGATTAATAAGATAATCTCCACACAGCTTTCTCTCTCTAAAATGTACATACAGCTTTTTTAAAAACTTTGATCACATGAAACCAATAAAATATCCAACACACTTTTTCTCCCTAAACTAAAAACATACAAACTAAGCTTGAGGTTACCAAAGTGGGCCTTATAGCTCATTACCATCCAGCTAACCAGCCATCCTTCTCTCCCTCTTCTCTCCCCCTTCTCTCCTCTC